CAAATGGGCCACCGACCACAGCCACCGGTGGCCAGCGACGGGGACTTGACACACTTTTTAATATATTTTGTATAGACGCGCCGCACACGTGTATCCATTTGGTGGCGGCTACTCGCTACAGTGTCCTCGACTCGCCACTGTAGGTATTAAAAAGTGTGTTCAGTCACCGTCGCTGGCCACCAGTGGCTGTGATCGGTGGCCTATTTGCGCCGAGCCTAATACGGGCACTACGAAAGGCCTTTAAAAATAGGCAGATTTAGAGCAATTAGAATAAATACGGGCACAGATTTTGAAAGACCTTAAAATTACGACTAAGAATATAAATACGGGCACAGATATCGAAAGATCTATCATTTCTTTAGAGTTTCGAATATCCAAGACGATTTGTAGTCTATATCTATAAAAGTGAAAGGTCACTGACTGACTCACTTAATCATCACGAAATCTCAGGAACTACAACTGCTACGAGTCTCAAAGGACAGTGCCAATCCATGTTTGGAAGTTGGACCAAGTGCTGCCCAGAATGAAACTATAGTGCATTTTGTCCCTCAGGCCAATACTAATTTGTAAACCAGAGCGCACTGAAATCTATCCCTGGAGTTAAGAGAAAAAAAAAGAGTTTTGTTTGGAATTGTTAACATACAAAATATCATCGATGTATACCTACTACGCATAAGATTTCGCGATTTTTGCATTAAATAACACTCGCTATGTTGAACTTAACCATACTGCTGTACACCTTACTTTAGTACGACTCCGACATTATTTATAAGCGATCAAGCGCTGTTGCAGTAGTTTGGTTAGTTGACCGAAATTAATTATTTCCAAAATAGAGCAAGAAGTTTTAGCTTACAATAACTTCAATAATCGATTGTAATACACCAATAAATTGATTTTTCCCAAGGATAGAGAACTAAAACTTCTTGCTTCATTTTGGAAATAATGATTTCTGTCAACTAACCAAACTATTGCAACAGCGCTAGATCGCTTATAAAGAATGTCTAAGTCGCACTAAAATCAGGTGTACGGATGCAGTATAGTTAAGTTCAACATAGCGAGTGTTATTTAATGCCAAAATCACGAAATCTTATGCGTAGTACGTATATATCGATGATATTTTGTATGTAAATATTTCAAAACAAAACTCTTTTTTTCTCTTAACTCCAGGGATAGATTGCAGTGCGCTTCGGTTTACACATTAGTATTGGTCTGAGGAACAAAATGCACTATGGGTTGATTCTGGGCAGCACTTGGTCCAGACCCTGGCACTATCCTTTTGCATGGGGATTCCTTTTAGAACGTAGGTGCTCACTAAGACGGGATTTTGCAAAATTCAACCCCTAAGGGGGTAAAACGGGATCCACGTGTACGAAGTCGCGGGCGGCCGCTAGTTTAGCAATAAATGCCCCTCTAATTTTTTGTAATAAGTGAGAGTTGAGCAGGTATTCGTGGGTACCACGTCTCTTGTGCAAATCGCTTGTCTCGGTTGCTTGTTACCTTTACGTGGCATTAGAGAGATAATTTGATAATTTCTTAAAATGGATAAGTATACAGGGTGGAATTTTGTAATGCTATCTACAATATTAAGAGTACTTTCCCTTCAGGTGGCATTACAAAATTCCACCCTGTAGAAACATATTAAACTTATCAATGTTAAACTAAAAAGGGTTCAATATCCGAATCTCCCTGAGTAGAGTAGGTATAGAATTGGGTATAAGAAAATCTTTAACATTATTTTCAGGATGATTACTGTCCTCAAAAGATAATCCGGTCTCAGACAGACTATAAATTAAATGAAAATGAGTTATCTTACTCTAGACCGCTTTTTATTAAGGGCTAATTCTCTTTTGTTAAGAATTGTTATTAAATCCTTAGAAATTAGGATTATTCGAAGTATTAAAAGCAAGAGTTTTAGTAAAAGATCGTCTAAATTTAGGTCTAGGTAATTGGTAGGATAGTTAGTTATTTATTAGTTTAGCACTTCAAAAGTTGTAGACAGAATAATAAATAAATTTAAAACATTATTTATTGCTACCAATATTATCAAAGTTTGTGAGGATGTATATGAATGTTTGTTACTCTTTCATGCTTAAACCAGTGAACCGATTTAGATGAAATTTGATATGGAAATAGTTTGAGATCCAGAAAGTAGAATTAGAATAATATAAATAGTTTGAATAAATAGAAACAGGTTAATATTTGGCACAGAAATAGTTTGATACATTGGACAGTTTTAATCCCGGTTTTTGGAAGCTCCAGGGACACGAGTGCGATAACTTTCTGTGACATAACTTCACACAGTCGAAGCCGCGGGTAAAAGCTAGTAGAAGATAAATTGTTACTAGACTTATAACAAAACTTATAAAGCTGTTAACGGGACTATTCCCACCTCTCGTTCCCACCGCTGCAACTTCTGTGTAGCCAGGATCTACAGCTAGACCGCCAATAAAAACCCAACCAGTGAAGGTCAAGTTTGTCCCGGGGGAAAGTTACACTGTCATTGGACCCGCAACGAAATTCATCAGAAGAACATAGGAGTTCGAAGTTAAGGTTCGATTTTCCTCCATTCTAAAGGTTAATCATCACCCACACATGCAAGGCTCTATAATTTCTTTCATATCAAATACCATTACCGTATAAAGACCATAGCTCCAGTGGTCTAACTAAATTTTTTCCACGCACCATATTTCCAGGAAATATTAAATGTCGCTCTGTGTTGGGAAACAATTTACCACGATAAATCTTCGTTTGCGAGCGTTAAAAGTAATACCACAGTAAAAATATATGCGGTATAACAACTTTACACGGATGCTCCTATTTTCTTCTGATTAATTTCGTTGCGGGTCCAATGACAGTTTAACTTTCTCGTAGACGAAATTGGCCTTCACTGTTGGGTCTTTATAGGCGGTCAGGCTATAGATCCTGGATACACAGGAGTTGCAGCGGTGGGAACGAGATGTGGGAATAATCCCCGTAAAAATGTAACTGTGTGTCGCTGAAACTATGATTTTTCCAAGTTACCTAGTCCCGTAAAAATTCTAATAGATTTTCTCTCTGAAACTATGATTTTTCCAAATAGGGAAGTACTAAGAAAATTGCCTTAGGATCAATTGATGATAAGCCATAGCTTAACAGCCAAAACAATCGCTAGGCAAGCAAAAGGTCGTGGATTCACTTCCCGCTAAACCAAATTATTTTTTTCAAGTTTTTAAGAATGAAAGATTTTCAGTTCTCTACTCCTTTTAATTTTACATATCTCAGATAGACATAACTATTTAATTTCACCGGTAATCACTAAAATTAGTTTTTTTGTCAGATAGCGTAGATAGTAGATACCCTGTATTAATGTCAAATTACTAGCTTTTAATTATTATTAGCTCTTTAGACTACTGGGTTTAACTACACTGTGGAGTGTTAAGTAACTTGGCCTTGGGCTTGAAATACAAAATTAAGGAAATGAATGTTTTATGCCGAAGTCCGATTTGGTTCCGAACCTTGTAAGATCATTATTATTTTAGGAACTTACGTAAAGTTGGAAAAATAGTTTGTAGGTATTCGATGATATCTATGGGCAGTATTGATTGGAATATTACTTAAAAAGAAGACGGATTAATGTTATTACTGTTAAATCTATGACACCGTAGGAAAAGAAAGGAAAAATCCTTTAAAAACTAAGTATGTACTACAAAACTTCTAAAATAACAACAGAAATAACTATGTAATGTTCAAACTATACCTACTCATAAATTGTGATGTAATGAAATGAAACGTATAGTCTGGTATTGGTTCAATCAACTGTAAATTAATTCTCTCAACACAATTCAATTACCTACTTAGTGATAAATAATGAAAATAAAAAATCCAAATAACCTCAATTGACTGTAGACGCAGGTATGCGAAAATCATGATTGATCTATGTAGTTATCAAGATACATTCTATTGCTTTTAGTAATCATTTTAAGCAGGTAATTTACTTTCTCGATTTTTGACAGACTAATTTTAAACATGTCGTCCATTTGCGACGACACTGTGATATATCAAAAACAGTGGTTTTACAGAAATCGACTTTTAAACTTTTGAATGACCATAACTCTTAAAATCAGGTTAGGATTACCTAATTGTGTATGAAACGTTTAAAGATTAACTATTAATGAATTTAAATATTTATAGTAAGACATAACTTTGCGTCTAAATTGATGAAATTATAGCGATTGAAAAAAAAAGAGACAACTTATCACGTTATTCTAGTAAAAAATAATATTTTGAAGATGGCAAGTTCAGTTGTCACGTTGTAGATGATATAAAAAAATATATTTATATAAGTCATTATTTAGATAAAACGTTGATCTTGAAATTTTTTATTTTATTTTACTAACATTACAATCAGTAAAAATGAGGTAATTATTGGAACAGGCGAATATTTCGCTTTGCCATGTTAAATTTCACTTATAAAAATATTATCTAAGTAGACAGACAGTTGTATACATACAATATTTAAGTTCACATTAAGTTTTCTTATTCTAAAACCTAATACTTATCAAAATAAACGAAAAACTCTCAAAAGTAAAACCTTGTAAACTACTACAAAAAAACACAGTAAGAGAAACTGTACTAAGTATGTATGTATGCAGAAAAAAAAATTGTAGGTACCTACTAGGTTAGTAAATAGATGTTTTTTAACAGACTAGTTATGACAATTTAATCCTAAAACTATCAACGCAAAAATCGCCGTCTCCGGCGCATAAAATGGCAAAAAAGCGACATTTTGGTACCTTTTAGGGTGTTTTAATTTTTTATACTTATTATTTATTATTTATTTATATTTTAAAATTAAATTTATAAAAGATATTTAAATAATGTATTAATAGTGAAAAAAAACAACCACTATTATTTTTATAAATAATGTAGCCATTTTATTGGCGTAGTTTTTCTGCAATAGTTATACCTATTGCAATATTATTATACAAAACAATGTTGCGCCCGCCAAAGTAAATTTGGGCTAGATGCGATAAAATTCCATCAATTGCTGATGATCTGTAATTATATTAAAACATTAAAATACCTTTTTTTGCAGAAAGCAAAACATAGCCAATACAGCTAAGTAACATTGAATAATTACATAATAATAAATAAATATATATCTGGGGTCATCCAACGCATTGCTATTCTAGCGTACTTCTACTAATAGATAATTTTGTTAGCTATCGTCTTAGATTAAGCTAATCTAAGGCTATTGTATGATAATATAAAATATTTTGCTTGTTGTGTCTGTAAAAACAGACAGTCGTATAAGTATGTTTTATTTGCACTGTATTTATAGTATTTGAACTATTCTTCAAAACGAATGTATGTTTATCAGTCTATATCTACTCATATTAGTTCCGAAGTTATTGTAGCTCAAAGAGACCCTTTCACAGCGCTCGCATAGCGCTGTTAGTCATGTTGTCGGATTAGGTTGTGGAATTCCTTCAGGCAGTGCATCGCCACAAATGTTAACCTTTGCTTTTTTGCATTGCTAGTCCCCATCTGTAATGATATCTGGAGTTTAGTATTACTGTTTAGCGTATACAACGTGACAAGTAGATATACCATTCAATTTCAATAACATGTATTCTGCAATAACAGAACATCAACAAATGACCTACAACATATTTCCAATATAGGAAAAATTTTCATCATCTACAACGTTATTAGTTAAGATGTCCCGATGATACTTCGATTTTCTTACAAGAATAACGTGACATATAAATAATTTATCTTTTACTTTGCTTTTTGTTTTAGAAGAACACTGTGATAAGTATGACGTGCCACATTGTCGAATAAAATAAAAATATTTTAAAAACTTACCTTTGTCATCAATACCGCGGTATCCTCGAGATGTCACGTTTTTCTTAAAAACGAAGAGCACCTCACATCTCAAAGCGCAGGTGGCAACTGAACTGTCACAGTGTCGAAGCCAACTAGATCGCCGAACGAGCCAGCGCTATAACGTAATATTTTGTCTCTTTCTCTCATAGTATTGTTGTTTTTGGAGTAACAAATACCCTGTTTTTGGAGATAAAAGAACGCAAGATCGCGGTTCAGAATTTCGGTAAAACAAAAAATCGTATATGTCGAGATGTCACAGTGTCGTCGCAAATGGGCGATGTGTGCAAAAGCTAGAGAATACATAGAAAGATTCCTAAAGACAAATACATAAAGTATTTCATTCAACCCTACAATTCATATCATCCTACTGGAATCTTCCAATGTAGGTTCCACAAAAGCGGCTCTGATATTAGAATGCCCACTTTATTATGGAGAACTTGGGAAATTGCCGAGTTTCCCCCTAATAATACCCTTCTTGTCGGAGAATCCTGTTTTCAGCAAATAAATATGTGATGCTTTATTTCAGGTGCAAGGGAACGTATACGCTGTGTGATTTATTCGTCTCAGGGTAGGCATATTTTTTATTGAATTTGTGAGAAACAAAGAAGATGAGGAAAATACGTAATAAACGCAAAGAATGTTACATAATAACTATACGACCTCAAGGGCTACACAAAATTAAGTCCAAACCTGGATTAAAAAGTATAATTACATATTAAATCTTGAATCTATTCTATGCTTCAGATTGTGTCGAGCTTTGACACAGTGTTTTTAAAAGGTTTGGTACTAGAAAGTCGTAATCATTAAACAATAATATTCCTGTTCACCCTAAAACTACTTTTGTCTTTGTCCTTATTATGGTGAACCTACTTCGATTTTCCATAATAGTCCAGCGGACTATAGAGAACTAGCGTTCCTCAAAATAAATACAAATCAGCTGTGGGCTGAGTGTGAGTATACATCAAAATATGCGCTCACAAGTAAGCGCGTTTAAAAAATGTATCAAAATTTTAGTTTTTGAACGTTTTCCGCTAGGGGCGCTGTACAATCCGTCATACATATAATGTCATTTTTTGATGAAAACTCACACAAGGCCCTCAGTTCGATACTGAGAACTTTGGTCTACTAGAATAACTGTCGCCTAAATATAACTACTTTTGCATTGTACTTACTCGTACCAAAAAAAGTTATTGTGTATTCCAAACTAGGTACATCATGTCATTGTCAACATAAACGAATTCGACCGCCAAAGAACAAAGCCAACCCTGCATGGTGGATTGGCATCTAATTCCACCAAATGCCCCCAGGGTAGATGACTATAAAGTTTTACAACCATCCCGTAGTTTACAGGAGCAAGCCGTAAAACTAGGATCGGGACTGCGGTATACAGGATGTGGGGAAAAGTTTTTAAATTGTGAATTCAGATATACGGTGAAATGCTGCATTTTAAATAAGCATAAAGTAGACGGTCAGTCCTGCGTACTATGATGCCACTTCAGCTCGTTAATCCGTCGGGATATGTCAGCGACTTTAGTTCGTTTACGGATATCCTCATTTCTGATTCGATCTCGTAAAGAAACACCGAGCATAGCCCTCTCCATAGCACGCTGTGCAAATTAATAAATTCTTATGAGGATTCATTGATGGATGTTTGTTACTCTTCTATGCAAAAAAATACTGAACAGATTTTTATGTTTGAGATAGAGGTAGTTTGAGAACTAAGGTATAGCCTGACCAGGAACATAAAAACCCTGGCACAGAGGCGCTTCAATTGCATTTGATAGTGCAACACTGAGTACAGTCGTACATGTGTTAAATTAATAGGCTAAATTTATGTATCAGGATCCAGGATTACGGGCTAATTTGATATTTTCATAAATTAACGAAAAATATTATTAAAGATACTATACCATCAANCAGGCTATAAAACAAAGGATAGTTTTTATCCTGAGATTTTCTGTGACAGATCGAAATTGACGCAGACGAAGCCGCGGACCAAAGCTAGATAACAATAATATTCTAAAAGTGCTTTATTTAAAGGTGGTAATATAGAAGTCATTTATGTGCAGAAAATAATTGACTTCTATGTTACCGCCTGATATATAAAAAAAACAGAATCTTTTGCTCTCAAATGTCTTTTCTATTGTAAATCCAGGTCATTAGCTGAAAAAAGCTTCAGTTCTGGCCCAATTACGTCACGTCAGTCCCTGTGACGGCTATAAACTGATAATAGGCTGGTTAATGACATCACAGAGGCCTGATGACCGGGGGCTCGTAAAATCACGGCAATTAACGTCGGACACAACTGACCGCTATCATTCATCTTAAGGGTATAAGCTTCTGAAGATTTGTTTTTATGTCTTTAAGCATTAATTTAGTTTTATTGAGATTGAGACTCTTTAAGGGTTTTTTTCGTAAAAAGGAATAATGAAATACACTCGCGAGCAAAAGTATGGAATCACTTACATAAAGTTGTTTCCACACGATCTTGTGTACCTACTAACGAATTTGTTAGTAACAAAAAAAGTGGCACCATTTTAGCTGTACTATAATGGAACAAAAGGGTATCAATGTTATTTGTTGTCGACTGTACACAAATAATATATTGTTATGGCGGGATTATAAATAATGCCGAGGAACGAGCAGTGATTTTAATGTTTTGTTGAATGTATGTTTTGTCTTCGTATAAAATTAGTTGCGAAATAATTTACACTGATTTTTATAGCTCTCATATAAGCTGAAAAATATTTCTTTGAATATTTTCAGTGTTGTGTAATAAATTCGGAATTAAAATGAACCAATTTGGTGAGATGTAATTAAACTAAAATTCATTTATTTTGCAAGTTATCGTAGGCTTTTAAAAAGCTCTTTTACATATTAGTGTAATCTATGTCTTTTTATAGTTATTATAGAAAAATAATACATTTCTTTCTTTCTAACCCTATTGTTAGGTATTGACTGTAAATTTTTAAGAGGATTATTAGTATTTTACAGTGGAAGTGGAGTAAAATCCTTGGGGGAGACCTTTGTCCAGCAGTGGATGTCATTCGGATGAAACGAACGAATAAACGCTAGTTTCCTAATTCATTTGTTTTAAAAGAGTGGGTGAAAAAGCAATGAACATTTCATCAATAATCATTTTCCCATTTAGCTTAGTTAATAGAAACTAAAACGTGGTGTACCTTATATCAGATATCAAAGGATATCTATTTAAGTACCACTTCTTTATTCGTTTGATGTCGGTGCCATACCTAAAGATAATATTTACTACGCGTCTGGTTGGTTCAAGGTTAACGTGAAAATTATGAATTATCTGACAAGAATAGGTTTAGGTATATAGGTAGGTATTACACTGGATTCTATTTTATTGAAACTGAGGAAGTTTTTTCATTTTAATATTTTATTTATATGAACGTATCAGTAGCACATAGAAGGCTTTTTTCTGCCCTTTTCATCGCCTGCTTGCATTTGTAATTTTAGACTTCTACATAATTATTAAGTTTTAATTATTAAAAAGTTTCATCAAAATCAGTATTTGTTGCACGAATGAGTAACATCTATCAACTATTACAAACTTTTGAGGAATAATAAATTACGTAATATTCGAGTAAATAATTAATTGTTAATGAACAGTCTCCAAAAACATTTAGATTAATTTGTATTTAAAAGATAACTTTATTTTAACAGAACAAAACTACCAAAACCAAAGATAAGAAAGTTTGAAACAAAAATAGAAACTCCAGAAAAAGAAACCTGAGGTTTCTTTTTAAAATTCTAAATTATGAAGTTTATGAACTCGCACGGTACCGTTTGTTGACTTAGCTTAGAGATACCAAAAGTTTGAAGAAAGCTTCGCATACGAAAACTCAGAAGTCATAGGGTTTCGCTGATACTGAAAAGTTTATGCGAAAGAATAAGTTTGTATTAAGAAAACAAAAATACTTGGTATGTATTTTAAGAGGAGTTTCGTTTCAAACGTAGATCAGAGAGAGTTTCATAAAGAAAAATAAAGCAGTCTCTACCTAAGTACACATTGGTGTAACAAGAAAGTTATTTATATTACTAAAGCCTGGTCCGTGAGCACGTAGAATTTTGTCCAATGACCCCAACACTCACACACTCACTGCGGGCGCCCGTCGCACAGTCGCGACAGCAATATAATTACGCGCGAGCGATAAGGATGGGTAGCTTGGGGTCATTGGACAAAATTCTACGTGCTCACGGACCAGGCTTTAGTGGCTGCCCGCGACTTCGTAAGCGTGGATCCCGTTTTACCCCCATAGGGTTTGAATTTTGCAAAATCCCGTCTTAGTGAGCACCTACTTTCTAAAAGGAAAACGTGCAAAATTTGAGACTTCTAGCACTTGTAGTTTCTGAGATTTCTTGATGAGTGAGTGAGCCAGTCAGTCAGACAGTCAGTCAGACCTTTCGCTTTTATAGGTACAGATTATTTATTATTTTGTATAGAATAATAAAATTAGATGTTATTTTATATAGATTATTTAGAGATAGGGAATGTAAATATCCTTGGACATTTTACACTATGCTTCTAGTCCCAAACTAAGCAAAGCTTGTACTATGGGTATTAGACAACGGATATAAACATACTTACATTTTTTTTTGTAAATACATACATATTATACATAGGAACACCCAGACCCATCACATAAATTAAATTCATAATTTCAATTTCTGCCCGGCCGGGAATCGAATCCGGGACCTTTCGGCATAGTAGTCCGTTCCGAACCACTACACCAAACGGCCGACTAAATGTGCTTTATAACAACTCTAAAATTCACATTGTCCACAAAATCCAGGATTAATTCGATCCTCTCATAAAATATTAATTAAGGATCGATCAGTGGATCATGAGCATCCTTTCAGATTTATCGCCAATCCATTATTTTACTACCCTCACTTTGTCGCGGAGACAAATGTCACCTTGATAACGTAATTACGTAACAAAATGGCGCAATTAATTTAATTGAAATATTTCAAAGGCTTGAACGTTTTGAG